TTCCAGTCTAACAGGTCCTGCTGTCCTCATACGTGTCTTGTTCCAGTTTAACATGTCCTGCAGTCCTCATACGTGTCTTGAACCAGTCTAACATGACCTGCTGTCCTCATATGTGCCTTGTACGAATAAAACATATTCTGTTGCCCTCATATATGTCATGTACCAGTCTAACATGTCCAGCTACCCATATACATGTCCTAAACTAGTGTTACGTGTCCTGGTGTCCTTTTTCATGTTTTGTAGGCTAACATGTCCTGTTGTCCTCATGCATGTCCTGGTGTCCTCATACATGTCCGGTACCAGTCTAATTTGTCTAACTGTCTTCATACATGTCCTGTACCAGTCTAACATGTCCTGTTGTCCTCATACATGTCCTCTATCAGTCTAAAATGTGTTGCTGTCCTCATATATGTCCTGTACCAGACTAACATGTCCGGCTACCCTCATGGATGTCCTGCTGTCCTCATACATGTCCTGTACCAGTCTAATTTGTCTAACTGTCTTCATACATTTCCTGCTGTCCTCATACATGTCCTGTACCAGTCTAATTTGTCTAACTGTCTTCATACATTTCCTGCTGTCCTCATACATGTCCTGTACCAGTCTAGCATGTCCTGTTGTCCTCATAAATGTCCTCTACTAGTCTAAAATATGTTGCTGTCCTTATATATGTCCTGCTATCCTCATGCATGTCCTGCTTTCCTCAGACATGACTTATACATAACATGTCCACTATCCTCATACATGTCCTGTACCAGTCTAACATGACTTGGTGTCCTTATACATGTCCTGTACCAGTCTAAAATGTCTTTCTGTCCTCATACATGTCCTGCACCAACTTGTCCTGTACCAGTCTAACATGTCCTGCTGCTGTCCTCGTAGTGTCCAGCTGTTATCCTCATACATGTCCTCTATCAGTCTAACATGTCTTGCTGTCCTCGTATATGTTCTATACCAGTCTAACATGTCCTGCTGTCCTCATGCATGTCCTCTACCAGTCTATCAGGTCTTGCTGTCCTCATACATGTCCTCTACCAGTCTAACATGTCCGGCTGTCCTCATACATGTCCTCTACCAGTCTAACATGTC